GTAGATGCGACGTGTTGTCCGCTCTTTGACATTCAAGAAAATTAGTTTTGCTTTGCTGGATTCCGGATTTCACTTTTACATACGTGTCAACTGAGTTTGTACGTGAGCAGGCTATTCAGCCTTTTAATTTTAATCATTGTGAGTATTCTTGTTGTTTATATTTTTAATTCTGTCCTAAATTAAACGCGCACAATGCATAGCATCATGTCCTTTTAATTGTATCATCTTTCGGGCTTCGGTAACTCAAACAATATGTTCTCGTTTCACATTAAAAAGTTTGAAGGCAATATTGATAGATAATTACCTGTTTACGTGTTATAAACAACGTGTTTGCAGCCAGAAATTACCTAACATTTATTAGGAAAGATAATTCGTATCTGTTTATTTTGTGCATTACGGTTTTTCCCATTGTATGCTGACGCGTTACTGCGTGTTTGTATTCGTATTCAATAATTATCTTACTTAACGGTACCATGTTTGTTATCTCGGATATTCATGCCATATTTAATAATATGCATTAAATTAAAAAATACCTACTATGCAAAGAAATGTAACACTTTAATTCTATTTTATGAGAGATATTGAAAATGTCAATTACATTATTACTAAAGAAAAGTTTTATATACTACAAAATGTGTATGTTTAAGGTATTTTGTCTTGCCATAGTTCTAATTAAAACAATGGGATTTTTGTGAGCCATATGTTCACTTAATACCGAAACAAAGCAAGTTTGAACATAACTAACTGAAAATAAGGCATAAGACCTTTGCTTCCTTTTTAATATAAATTTATTTATTATTTACGCATTTGCAGAAGAAGAAAAGTCTTATCTGCTGTTAAATTATAAGTTATTTGTAACTTAAGTTTATATTAGACACAAACCACTTTCACTTCTTTTTTTACAACCTTATTTTTTGTTTTTGACTTTTAAGTAGTGTAGTAGTAACAGTGATACTACTATTAAATAAAAGTGTGTTGTCAGATACCTATTCCCCAGTCACTATGTGAAAATATTGTGACTATTATTCATTGTAGTAGTTCTCTTAGGGTCATTAATGACTTATTACTTTAACAACAGTCATATAGTAATCTCTTATGATTAGTTAATATTCAATGTATAAATTACTTAAAAGAAACTTGAGTACTCAATAAATGGAAAGTTCTTTTGATTTTAGTTTAGTATAAACTGGTACTTGGTCAGAGTTACTTCTTTAGACAATTCAACATACTAGTAAATAGTTTTATATAACACAAATAAATTATTTATCTGTATTACACTGTTGGGTTGCTTCATTATTTAAAAATTTAAAATATTCTCTGGGGTCTTTATTCTAATTTCATTCTGCAGGTTAGCATGCTATTGAAAACATTCTTTATATCATATGTTTTCCAATACTTTTTTTTGTGTGACAAATAGTTAATTCAATAATTGTATTTTCAGGACAAATATAACTGGTAATCAAACAAAATGGCACCAAAGCAGAGGATGCGTATTGCCAATGAAATCGCTAGCAAGAACATCACTATGAGGGGGAATGTACCTAAAACCACAAAGGTAAATTATACATTTTTTACTATTTTAATTTATTAAACCCAGTTTAAATTTTACCTTAAAAAAAATATTATTGGGTTGTGTACGCCAAAAATAAGATCAAACAACAAAACATACAAAAAATATGCCCTGCCCCTGCATAGGATATGGCTATATAGAGGAAAGGATATTTTTTAATATTTTATCCTTGTGCTGCCAAAAATACCACTGATCAGGGATGGCTTAATAATCAATATAATGTTATTATTTAATTGTTTTTATTAAGCTATTTACAATTTTTCACTTTTTCTACACAATTTCTTTGAAAGACATTTGATAAAGAATACTAATTATTAGGTGCCTTATAATATTGCTTTACTCCATACTTTTTATTGATTCAAAGTGAATGCTATTTGATAAATTTTATCCTTGAGTTAATCTTTTGTTTCGGTAGCACCTGTGTCACTTTAGGTAGAATTTAATAACAACATTGATAAGTTTGAGTATCATGAACAACGCCATAGATATATCTTTACAATGACAAATCAAATAGGAATCTCTCTTAAGTAAAGTAGCTAATGATTTTGAAAGATTTGACTTTCTTTCTGCGAAGGAAATATATCATTATATTCAAAGTTTCAAATCTATTTGTAGTTCCATGTGAAATTGGAAAGATACCTGCCCAGTTATCAACACACTACCCATTAATTAATTTATTAAACATTATCTACAATTTACTAATCTTTGATAACGGTAATTTTGCGTTCTACTTTTTGTTACGCATTTTTATCATAATTTTGAATAAACTATCACATGCATTTATTTATGAATATTATTAGTTCTAAAATTTTGAGCGACCTGGAAAACTCAAAATAACACTTGCCTCTTTCTTTGTACATACAAGGAAGTGAATTGTATTTATTTAACTAAAAGTTATATAATATGAAATTATTGCGTTATCTCTTAGGGCATTAATTATTATTAAATCAACTGTTCAGATATATTTTACATCTGTAATATTTGTATGACTAAACAGTTTGAAAACTATAATATTTATGTATTGTTTTATTTATGCACTATAATTATTTAAAATAAATTAACACTTCAGTCAAATTAAAAATCGATTATACATTTAAAAAAAAAGCGTATCGTATTAACGATAACGTGTAGGACACGATAGCTCATTTATTAGAACAGCAGCACGGAACTTTTTTCAATTTATAATCGACTTTTAAATTGACTGAAAGAAAAGTGTTAATTTATTTTAAATAATTCCTAGATGTTGTTTTTCTGACATGTTATATATGAGAACAGAATGAAGTCTTTAAAGTATCTTGTCATAATTATATATCTTATCTTTATTCATTTGTTTTAAATAAATGCAATACCAATTCTATTATTACAGGAAAAGGAAGATCAATACCCCGTGTCCCCCTGGCTGCTGGCTCTCTTCATCTTCGTGGTCTGCGGCTCAGCTGTCTTCCAGCTCATACAATCAATAAGACTTGCTTAACTGTGATCCTTTCGACATGCATGGGACGTGGCTAAGCTTTGTAAAATGCCTGATGCTTTAAGATATTCTAAATTTATACTTCGTTTTCCGTATAGGACTAGTCTTGCATATGTATGTGTTAGAGTATTTTATAACGCAAAACATCCTTGTATAGATAGCTTTTCTATTCCGCCATCTTTATACTTTTTTATCGACCAATCGGCAACAGCCATTTTAGCCACGAGCCACATTCTTCGGTTCATCTGTGGCGCTCACTACGCGGTTTTCCATGACTTTCCCCCAGCCACAGATAGCGATCCTAATCCACCACCTAGACATAGCGATTTGTTTTAAGCGCAGTAAAATCTCAGATTGCATAAATGTACTATATTCTTGTATATTGTAAATTGACATTAATATTAAGAATTTTTAGCATTTGAAATGTGTTTTCCATTCCTTTATTTTCTAATAGCGCACAACGCGTTAGTTGGATATTTTTAAATCATTTTATAGTTTAATGAAATGAAATTATTTTATCCGCCCCCAACGTGCGAAATTATAATTATGTCGGTACTATTTTTAATTATAATTTATTTGATTTAATACAGTATATTTGTCGAATAATACGTGTTTCATTTGTATGTTAATATAAAGGTAGGTAGGCTATATATAATCCCGTTTTGTATTCGGGCATGGATTAGACTGATTAATTAAATTATCCTAGCGAACTTTCTCGGGACTCCGGATTCGAGCCTACATCATCTCGCGCTTTATCGTTGACCCATAGAGGTTGACACACAGTAAATAAAAAAGTTGTTATTATTGGTACATTTTCTATTTATTTTTTTCACTAAATACTTAATTTTGAGAGCTTCATACTTAGACGATAAAGTTTTAGAAACTATATAGTACAAATTTACAATTAGTGTCATGTGATATGTTTTACTTATGAGTGCTATATTATAGAATAACATGTTTTAAACCAAAAAAACCCTGGTTATACGCTCACAAAAATTCTAAGTGCATAATAATCTTGCTGTCTCACTTCGGTAGCATTTTTTAGGTAACTCAGAGCGAGAAAGATAGATTTCAACCATTAAAACGTGTCACTATTTTACAGAGCACCGAAATAGCACCTATATACGTCATATAAAAATACTATATAAATATAAAAGAAAAAACTCGAGTTCTGCTATATGTAAGACAGATATAAACAATATTATTTCATAGACTAGATACATAGTTTTGTCATGTCAATATATATTATTGCAAGCAACTTCACCATATCGTAGGTGCTTTATAATTTTAAGTGCTATAAAAAAAGTCGAACACTATGTGCTCTAGTTAAAACGTACAACCTTTTCATGTCGCCTTCACAATGACACTGGACTTTTACTTCTACATATAAATTACAATATATAAAAATTTTGTGAGCTTGAAAATAATACAAAAGTAATGAATTTAAAAACAGTAAATAGGAATAAATTTGAGCGTAGTCCTTTGTCAATTCTTCATGCTAGACAATTAACATCAATATTTAGACAATACAGACGGTATTTGAGCAAACCACTGAATTGTCATATTCAATTCACAACACAAACCATTTCATATGAAGAAACGTCGGTCATTTTATTTTAGGTCAGTCAGCTACAAAAGTTCCAACATTTAGTATGAGTTACAGCAAGCTACGATAAAAATTGTCGTTTCGTTTATTTTACAATTTCTCTGATTTTCTTGGTCATGGAAAAGCTTTATCGCAGTCAAAGAAGAAATTTAAACTTATTAAAAGCATCGCATGTTAAGTCATCTTCACTTTCAAGGGTAATGGATTCATCACCTGTGCTGCTGACTGTACAGCTAACTGTACACGCGTAGTCTTTTCTAAAAAAGACTACGCGTCATTGAAGTGACACAAACAGAGAGCGAATTGAAGGCGACACAAATTAATCTAGGTGACTAACAGTGAATACACTAAACTTATTTTAAAGTATCGTAAATGGCCTCGTTGGGATATGTACCATTCAAATGGATACTATTGCTAAAGCTTACAATGTTATCTTTACCTAAATGAATCTCTGTCCTATCTAAACTTTGATTATGGCTCTCAGGATAATCATCCATATTGCTAGTTATTTCTAATCTAATCGCATGTTTTGGTTCAACCTGCTTTACTTTATCACGCTCCCAGGAATCTATTATAGATACATCGTTTTTGCTCCCCGCCTCGTCGAAATTACTAGACGCGAGACTGGAATCGTCCAAATCGAAGTTTGTAGTCTTCTCTATGACAACCACTTCGATGTGACGAAATGGATTTTCTATCATCTGTCGCGCTCTTTCGTCGTTGCGAGTGATGACTTCTTTCTTAACATTACAAATCACAGGGTCGTTGGCTAAAACGTCTTCATTGCAGTCATAGTCTTCATCATTGGATTTAGAACCGTGCGGAGGCGTGCATATCTCTGCGTAAATGTTGTCGGAGTTAGAATCTGTTTCTATTTTCTCCTCCTCGATTTCTACTGCGTCCGCTACTTGCCCGTACGGCAAATCTTCTATCACAGGCAATTTTCGTTTTTGTATTGAGGAAATAGATCTTCTTATCTTCTTTTGGTTTAGCGGTTCTTCCTCTGAAATGTCAACTGGAGGTGAATCCTCATCTACTTCCGACCGAGGCGTAGGTGCTCTTGGCTTATCGATCTTTTTTCTAAAGTTTACTACTTTAGCTTCCGTTGCATTTGAACGTTCAGTTTTAGTTGGCATACTATTGCTGTTACTTCCCTCCTTCTTATCGTTCGTTTTCTTAGGGTGTAATAAGTTTGAAGTTGATTTGCTTAAAACCCTTTTTGTTTTGACATGAAACTCTGAACACAATTTTTCTGTAATGAACGAATGTTGCTTGTAATTGATTTCAAAGTCACTGTCATTATACATAGATCCAGCCGCGAAAATGTTAATGTCCTCACAACTCTGAATTTGGTTGTAAGATTCAGACTTGACAATTGCTTTTTCTGGGATTAAGTCTGGTTGAATTCTCTGTCGCCTCTCAAGATGCGTTGATGATTTGGTTGCTGATGATTTCTTTAGCATATTTTCGTCTAACGACTTAAGTTTTCTACCCGAACTAGAATTACTTTCCATAGAGCCACAGTAGTTAATTTGATCTACACTTAAATTTTTACGCCCATGCTTCATATCAATGCCGCTATCTTCTTCAGTGCACGGACTATCGGGCATGCCGGTTTGAACTGAGACAGATTTAGTTAAAACTGGCTTTTTGTGGCTTGAACTACACTGACTCGTTCCCATTTCTGACGACGAAGTTGTCAAACTCTTATAGGAATGACTCTTCTCAGCTGTACCATCATTTTTTCTAAGCACGCCAAATCGATCTTCTATAAGTTTTGCCATGTCTTGATACCTTTCTATGGAACTATGTTTTTCCCCTAAAGGATCGAATGGGTCCTTGATGTCTCTGTACTTTTCCGAATTCTCTATGACGGTGAGTTTGTCATCTAATTTATCGGTGCTTTTTAGTAATTTTAGGTGTTTAAACCACTTGCTCTTCTTATGCGCCGAGTCTTCTCTAAAACTAACTTTTTCATTAGAAAATTCTTCGCGTTCCGTTTTATCATCGTGCTTGTCATCTTTTCCTTCGTCATCACTGTAAACATCGTAATTCATGTGTTCGAGTTCATTCTTACTTAAAAATATGATTGAGCCTTCCGTTTCGTCGGGTATATCCTTCAATACCTTCTCACTTTTCCCAAAGAGCCGCGATGTATCTATTTTTAATCCTTGTAGGGTGAACTTCCTTTCTTTCTCAAATTTGACCGGTTCATGGTCTTCCTTGATGAGATCCTCAGCCGTCTTCGCTTTGCTGACGACCGTTGAATTAGCGTATGAGATCTGCCTAATCCAGTTGTCAACGTTCAGTTGACAGAAGGTGAGAGCTTTTTGGAGGCGAGCGGAGAGAAACATTCTTTTTTCACTTTCGAAGCCGAGTTGTGTGCGACGTACTTTGACGTTGCTGTTCAGGGGAAGCAGTTGGAAGGTTTCCTTGGCGTGGTACCTAGGGTCTACTTGCTTGTTAAGGCTCGATGACGAGCTGTAGTCAGGGAGGGTGCACATGACTAAAACAGGTTCAGTGACAGCTTCTCGTAACAGAAGATCATCTGAAATCGAAATTATTTTGAGTTAAATAAACGATGGTTAAGGAACGGACTTAAAGTATTAGTAGTAATTAATAGTAGACGTGGAAAACGTACACAAAAGTGTAGATAAATTGAAATTGTGGTGACGCTTTCCTATTCTACATTATAATACACCTACCTCCGACATCATGCGCCATTTCAATAGGAACTGTGCCGGCTAACAGCCGTACTCTAGCAGGAAGTCGCCACAGACTGAGCAGATGCGGAAGTCTATGCGCCCGCGCAGCTACGTCCGCCGGTGGTGTGGAATCTGTGGCATCGTCCCATTCGGCCGGGGACAGCTCTTCGGGACAGACCTCGTATAGTTCGCCCTTTGTGTTCAATGGCACAAAGAGTTCCTGAAAATTAAAATAAAAACATCATAACCAAAGTTTACTGATTTGGTAAATTACTGACTAACTAACACAAATTAAAATAAATTGACCCCCATTTAAATGTATTATTTAATTTAATATATACATAACATGATGTGAGTACGGATAATGTATTTACACATATTCCAAAACCTTAAAATCAGATCCCGTACATTCCAATACCTCAGCTTTATAACATCTAGACAAAATGCTCTCACGACCTATTTTGGCTGTGAATATTCGGAAATTCGGAGACCAACACGCTATTAAGCATGTGATCCGGATGGAATTCTGATATCCTACCACCCATTTAATTCAGAATTTCCAGGCGAAGTTTAGAAAATAAAAACTGCACTGAAACTCATATTAATTCTAAATAAAATATAATATGATTTATTTCATTATTTGTATGTCTGCAATAAAAACTGAAAACTTAACTATGTTAAATAAAACACTTTAACGGTAGTTATATACTAGTGACTATAGACAGTTTTTAACTTAACTAAGCTTTAATTAAGAGAAAAGTTTAAGAAATATTTTTTAATTTTATAAATGCTCACACGAAAACCAACTCTACTATAATATGCGGAGCATATCTACGAGTACATATGCGGGACTCGAACCACCAACGAAAAACGTTTTCTATTTATTGACTTTTCAATGTACACTTTCAAAGCATTTTCTAAAAACTTTATTATCTATCCCCATTAAAATTTTATATTCCAGCGTTCGTGTCTACGCTTAATCTGGGAGACAGACAATAAAAAATTACTTCCTCTTAGAGACCTGCGGAGATTTTTATGTGAATCGCATAATATATGCCCAGTCAGGCAACTTTATGAATCCGTGCAGGAATGCCGATGTAATATTTTTTATCCTCTATCACATTAACTTGCTTTTTAATTAGTTGTTATAAGATGGGATGTGTTCTGTGTTTCTAGACGAACTTGATTGTATTATTAAACTCTTCTTAACAGTACTGCTTAGTGAAGCTGGCATTTCGAAACATGCCAACAATCAAGCTCAATGCGCCTGCGCCGTTATACACATGAATATATGAATTACCTAAAGTTATTTTGTGGTATTTAAGTTAGAGCACAATTTGGCCAATAATTTAGTCTTATATAAGGCCAAACTCATAAAATAATAATTAAATTATAAAAATTGGTTAAACCATAGGGATATATTACCACAGATGATGATTGTATCCACTTCGCAGTTACTCGATTGAAGATGTAAGTTTCGCTATAAATAATATAATAACCTACTTAGGAACTAGGTGTAGGATTGATGACGTAACGTCTAGATTTCAATACAGGTTCGTTACTTCATCGATTATAATAGGGTTGTCAAAAATAATACCAATATAAAATAAATGAAAATTTCGAGTGATATTCAGATATTAAATGATCCAATATAATGTCTGAAGACGAATATTTTATCATTTGCAGACTCAACCCAATTATATTAAGTGTTCGGAAATATTACTTTTACCTTTTAACGGTTTGTAACGCGAAATCAATAAGTTATCCTCTTTAAATTGAACTATGCAACAGCCGTTGTCACGGCGATTACTTTGCATTTGAAACCGTTAAAAGTATTTAAATACTAAGTCACTTTTCTTTAGTGGTTCTCTGTCAAATTCGCAGCCCTGCCATAGTTCAGCCGTAGTATTGTTATAAAACAAAAATTCAAAATCGCTTTCATACACTTATCGTGTATGCAAAACAGCCTGTCACTTTACGCTTATCGATTTTAGTTACATGCTCAGTGTTACACGGACGTAAGGGAGCATGTTCATCAAAATAACTACCTGTACATGATTTTATGAGTAATTTTGTACAGTTTAATAATTGAATGATTCTCGCCTTTTATATTTTCCTGGTACTACCTTGGTGGCACGAAACATTCATTATTGTGTTTATTGTCCAGCTAGCTAAATTGTATCATAGGTAAAAGTTAGAAAGAACTCTTGGCATTTTATACATTTCTAGTACTTTTATCTTTAGTACTAGAAATGTATTAGAAGAGCACAAACTACTATTTTAACTCAACAATAAATATTAAAAACATGGAATAGTCAAAATGCACTGAAAAGTATGAAAATATTTAACTTTCATTATAAGTAAACAAAAAGAAATTTAATTAAATTATAAACGTAACATAACATTTTTAAAAGGTTATTTTAGTGTCATTTTCGAAGCAATTAAAAATTTTCTTGTATAATTAATTTAATCAGTTTTATTAATAAAAATAAAATAAAAATCGATCGCACGGTACGCTGTATTCGTATATCGTATTATTTTCTTCAATTTAAAATCGATTTTTAATTTATATAATGCCATCATGTACACTTATGACAAATATAATAGTTTTCAAACGAAGAAATGTCACAATTTTTCTTAGTTTTCGAGTGGTTTATTATTTGTATATCTTATTTTTCATATTAATCACTGAAAATTTCGTACTACTAGGAGTTAACTATGAGTACGTAACTATCTTGTATTAAAAATAAAAGTGTACAAGTCACTTAACATATTGAATAACTAAGCGAGGTGTTAAAAGTTGATCTCAAATTAAAATCTTGAATTTCTTAACGCGATCATATATCATCATTAAGTAAGGTCAATGAGGTGCAATTTGAGCAGATAACGCCCAGTGAGAATATAATGTAATAGTACATATTACTTACAAATTAAAAACGGTATTTTGTGCTTCATCTGGTCAATTGGGCAGAAATTAACATCCACGTATATGTCATTTTTAAAAGGACCTTCATACAATATTCAACATATAAGTTACCGTACCTGGAATATATACCTAACAAATAAGCTAGAGTTTGTTTCTTTACACGCGCTAATCTGAGGAACTGGTTAAATTGAATAATTTTATTTGTGTTGGTTAGAGCATTTATCGAGTAAGAGCGTAGGAGCGAAGATACAGTGTGCGAAATGTGGAATAAACGGGGAAATTATACATCTTTAAGGGTTTGCGATTCGTGCCCGGTAAAAATAGTTTAACCTAAAAATTGTATGAAATAATGATTCCACTTTAATTTATCTAAAAAGTCCGTCACAGTATATATCTAATTTTCTATTCTAATTTAAGATAAACTTCCAAAAACGACGGGATGCGCACGCCGTCGTTGGTAACAGCTTTAATTTATAAAAATAAGTTTATTAGTATTTTGGGCAAATTTTGATGCCCAAAATTCTACGCGGTCGAAGTCGCTGCACACTAGCAATTAAATAGTAAGTAGGCAGAGTACAAAACGCGTTTCTTTATTTCAAGTTTCCTTTTCATGTACTAGGGCAATATGATATTAAGAAGATTCCTCAACAGCGCTAAAGCGTCTATGATACTCCTGTTTCCGCGTAACATCGTCCGTGCCAACATAGTTCCATTTATCACCATATATAATGGTCTCTCGACTTAGTTTCCTATCTCTCGCGGAAGGTTTGGAAGTAGACAACCAGGTTATTAATGCGTTCTTTCCATATTCTTCTAGATCCATAATTCCGGTGCTCGACACAATGGTTCCATCGGGGTTTATTATTACCATGTATGGAAGGCAAGTTATACCTATAAGAATTTATGAAAGATACATAATATTTAGGAGAGTCTAAATTGTTTCTTAATGTAATAACACTATCAACTATTATAATAATAATAATCTATAGGCCTAATGCATTTTTTGTTGTTTTTTTTTAAGAGAAAATCTACAAAACTATATACATCACATTTGCAGTAAGGAAAAATTTAATAGCACTTTTAGACTTTTAAATGATTTTACGCAAAATACCAACCAAGGCAACATAGCACAGTGAGAAGTTTAACAATTACCATACAAATGCTTCAGTACATTTATCAGGGGATCATCAATCTTAAGGGTAAACCAATTCGCCTGTCTTTCGTAACAGCTCATCATATCTTCCTCCTTTTCATCCATTGGCACATAAATCACTTCTATGGGCATATTAATGAACTTAACATTTTCATATATCGTATAGAATTTCTCGAGAATGCCGTCCTTGTCGACACCGTGCGATGTGAAAAGGAGGACGATGATGTCAGCGTTCTCTGTTAGCCATTCTAGGGTTATTTTTGTGTCTTTTTTGTTGTAAATTTGCGCTTCGCACAGCCAATTGTATGGCTTTATGTCCATTGGAAATAATTATTCTTGTCGATGTTACAGTGCAAAAGTTATCCCGCACAGAAGTGACATTGTAGATAAATTGTAAATGTCGCATTTATGCTCTATTTTACAATTAGAACCTTTAAGAAGGTTTTATGTATCAGACGCAATTTCTTTCGTCGAGATCAGAAAATCTGTTATCGAGTTCCTAGGCTAGGATATAAAACACTGTTAGTATATGATATGCACGATCAGATGGCCCTACTTTCTCACATTATATTTATGTATCTTAACCATCTATAAAACTCAAATGGATATAAACTTTAGTACCATTTAATACAGTTTAATTTGTTCTATTCATAATATAACGGCCTAGCAATAAAAAGTGATATAGCACCCTTTATACGTCCAGGTCCTTATTTAGTTCATAGTTTATAAGAAAATAGCATTGAAATTTGACGTTCTTTATTACGAAAGCACTATGGTTTAAAATCGCACAACGTTCTTAAAAGCACAGAACTGTGTCTCGGTTGATAGTCGTGACCATCTAACTTAAGTTGGAATTAATAAAACTTAAAATGTAACGTATGCTTAAGTGATAAAGTCTTTTCTCGAACCGAATTTAGTTGTGTATAAATTTGTAAGTACATTCGTGCACAGAATACGAATCGAATGACCGAACTGCTAGATGGACTGTGGTCGAAACGTGACCATAAAAACTGTCACAGAATAACAATGCAGTAACAGATTACGCGAATCTGAACCTTATTTCGATGGGAGTTAATGGGATTGTTGTATGTTCATAAATATCAGATTATATTGTTTATTGTAGTGAGCACCCGCGGGCCCG